CCCAGCCCCGGAACCAAAAACAACTCTACCAGAGGCACACTATTTCACATTAGATTCTCCCAGTAGCACTTGTTGCTATGAGATACGCATGTGACAGTGTTCAAAAGCCGTCGTGCAGCAAACCACCCACACAAATATTTGAAAAATAAAAAAATATTTCCCTATCCCCTCAATCATTTAACAGTTAGCAGTGACCATCTTATAAATATTTAGATTTTCAGGAATGTGCTCCGCTGGGAGGAATCTCCCCCTGCTACTTCCACCTCACAGCAAGCCAGTCTTCCCATTGGAGCAACAAAAAAAATCCTAATAATTTTGGAGACAACCGTCAAAATTTGTGGTTATCCACTTATTAACATGGATTTTACATCTCTGATGGTCATCAATTTCTGTGACTAGGGGACTTACTATTCTATCCCTCAAATGAGACTATGTGCTTGCAACTTTAACGTGTCGCAAAAACATCACCAGTACATTTCAAAATAAAAGTTATCTTTCCCATACTGTAATCATTCAATTTTGGATCGGGAATTCACAGTCCACACAGATCAACAAAATTTTGTAAGGTCCAATATGCAGGAATTCTGTACAAAAGCACCTTCTCATCTTTTATTATTGCTGGCAAGTGTTGATCTGTGCAGTCCGTTCACTTCCGACATGGAATCCAGCTCAGAGTCCAGATGTTGAAGTGCCGCTGGGCAAGGCACTGACCCCCCCCGCCGCCTGCGATGGCGGCCCAGGTTTATTTATTATATATAAGGATTACAGAACACAACCCAGGGCTCCCTCTTTCAGACAAGCTCCTGGAGAAGAGAGCAGAAAAAGAGATTCCGGAAACACAGAGCCTAATACATTTAAAAGTTTTGGGCTAACCCCTTACACAGATGAAGTCCGTACAGCAGACTCCATCTCTTATCTAGAGCTCCACAGGCTTGGAGCAGCTGCGTATTACCTAGTCATAACAAAATGAAAAATTCCGTGTGTGTGTGTGTTGTTGTTACGTGGTGTGTAACTAAAACAATCGTTCAGACATAAATCTAACATAAGATTAATACAAGAAAACAATTGGTGTCATGGCTTACTGCTAACCTTAAAGCAGAGCAGACTAGAGCAGACTTTGAATCTTACTAAACTGCATTAATAACACATTAAAGTCTAATAATTATCTGACTGATTTATTAATTTCTAACAACAGGCTGTGCCCCTGACTGTGTTGGTGTGAAAGAGACCCTATGTCATTATTTTAATAAGTTTCAAAAGTAGAACATTAAAAATAAGAGGACTGAAAGGGCTCAGATTAAATGCACAAATTCAATACTGGATCAAGTTTGGGTGAAAAAATTGTTATTTAAAATGTTAAAAACCATTGACTCTGTGCTGTTTGAAAAGGAATACCTTTATTAAGCACATTGCATTTGAGACCTTTGTTAGATCCCAGTTACATTTAGTAATCTTTAGAGCACAAATATCATTTAGCAATCTTTTAATTAAGCCACTTTACCCTGTGTGTTAATATATACTGTTTACTTAATGTTAACTGTTCACTGGCAGTAAAACGTGCTTTGACAATGCAGGGGAATGCTGATCAGAACAGCAGTAAACTAGTGCGAAAGTTGTATTGTAAGCCTGGTACAACCCAATTTGTCAGTATACCTGCAAAAATCAGATTGTTTGGCCTCAGTTCGAATCTGCTAAAGCATATGGTAAATCCAAGCTCAATTTCCTGTGCCCCAGCTCACATTACGGCTGGAATTGATGGTACTCTCAATATAATCAGAATTTTAAAACTCATTTACTGGAAAAACGTTCAGAAGCAGCATCATGTTCATTTTCTCTTAATGCTAACTGCTCCCACCTGCCAACCTTCATATAAAAATTGGCAGCCAGGTAGCTAACAATAAAATGATGCACTATAGGGTTGCAGCAGTGCTGGTTACATTTGGCAGATCAGTATCCTCCTCTCCGCCAGAAGCAGGTGATGCACCCAGGAGTACAATGCTCAAACAGAATGCCTCAGATGCGGCCTCACCACTGCACACCAGAGGTACAAGAGCCAAAAGGATATGCTAAAGGAGCACAGGTTCTGCCAAAATCAATTGCAGGACTATTGTTTTCTTGATATCATAAAACTGCTACCTGTTCACAGAACTGCTACTGAACCATGCCCATGCAGTGCAAATGTTGGGCTTAGGTTGCATGTCTGGCATCTATATGAATGCGTATGTATGGAGGTGTCTACATGTGTATATATAGTATGGTAAATGGTCTTATACTTGTATAGCGCTTTTCTATGCTTTCACAGCACACTCTATGCTTTCACACTACTTGGCACTCCACCAGTGTTATCACCGGGAGCAACTGGGGGTACAGTGTCTTGCTCAAGGACACTTCGACATATTGACTGGACAAGCCAGGAATCGAACTGTTAATTCTCTGTTTGGGGAAACAACCCACTCTACCTCCTGAGCCACAGCTGCCCCATAGCATGGGACTATTTTCCCTGTAGCTTGTTTCATGCAAAGTATACATCTACTGTAAACTATGTATGACCATGCAGGTTTGCTTTATAGCACCTTTAAAATGGACAGATAATCCAATCAGCTGTACCCCACCAATGTAAAAAAACAAAAAATACAAACTGTCTTACTGTTGTGTTCATGGCATTGATTGGAAATTTGACATTTAGGCTAAAGTTCCCATTAGCATTTAATGATATTTTATTCTTTGCAAAAGAAAGCAAAGCTGTTACCATGTCCTCTGCTTCATCTCATTTCCCTGGCATAACTGAAACTGGTGTGGCTGTGCCCTCACCCCAACCATAGCAGACAAATCATTTACAAATGCTCTTTTTCCTAAAGCCAGTTTAAAGGTGCAAAGTTTTCCCTTGGGGTCTGGTAGTATTAGTAAGACGTGAAGTCATCTGCAGTTTTTATTTTGGTCTGTCCCTCTCACATAGATTAAGCTTCAGAAGCCGCCTCTTGGCAATTAAATCTATCAGAGAGCAGCAGGGAGTGCTCTGTCAGAACTGTTCCGGTAATTGCTGTTTTAAATGAACATGGATTCATAAACTTTGACACACAACAAGTTATTTTTCAACTTGGGAATAACAAAGTTTTCTCAGTCTTCTGGTTTGTTTTCTTTTTTTTCATGTCTGGTGAACAGGAATCTCATTTACTATTCTTTGTTTACAGACACATAGAGAACTGGACAGGATTGCAAACACTGAGAGACGTTGATATGGAGCTCTACACTGGACTGCAAAGACTGTGAGTGTTATCTGTTGGGAAACAAGGGAAGACAAGTAAACATGTCACTGTATTTCAGTCCTATTCTACTGTGGTGCAGAGTGCTTGCATTTTCCTTTAAACTATCTCAGCTTTGTTTTGTTTTTTTGTCTAATTCTTGGACTATAGATGAATTAATTTGTAAATTTGTTTCTTCCAAGACGTGTTAACATCATGACAGAGACAGAACATATGTAGGATGCTTCTTGTTACACATCAAGTGGCTTTTTCAACTTTTGAACATATTTTTTTCTGATCAGGGGCTACAGTTTGATTGCAGAGATGTAGCAGGTTGGTGAATAAGACAGCATTAAGATGTCTGTAAAACATTTAGTCATAGTCCTTATCAGATGTTATTTTTTTATTTTTATTTTTGTCACAAAAAGTTTCATCAATGATTATTTTTCATAACAGTTTTTGTTGACAAAATTAACAATCCACGTTTTCAATCAGGTGGCCCCCGGGCTTACTGCAGAGAGGCCTGAATAGTTTTTCTTTAACAGATGTGAGCAGTAATTCAACTCGGAACACAACTGACTGCAGCTGCAGCATCATCAGCGATACATCAGGATTTAATGCCTGGAATGTGAATGCGACACAATCCAGGCTAATTCTCAGAGGAGGTGACACGATGTTTGTCAGGGTTGTACAGAGAGATGTCTTGTCTCTTCACTTCTTAAAGTAATGTTATGCTCCTTTTTTGCTTTGTTCTCCACTATGATGCCACATTCTTTACATTCCTCTCACCCTGCCACTCCTCCCTTAGATGCTGCTTCCCAGGCTCCTCATTTTTTTTCCCATTCCACAGAGAAACATATCCTTCTTTGCCATCAATAGTCAGAGCTGGCCTCTCACCTGATCCTCTTGATCCCTCATCAGGGAGGGAAAGTGCAATATCTCCACCACTAAATTGGCATTTTTCTCATTACCACTGCCTGTCTTTTGCTGCCTTGTCTGGGGACACCTGTTCCTCCCTGCCTGGAGTCAGGCCTTCTCAGGAAATGCATTTACCCTGTCTGATGCTGTCATGTGTGGCTGTGACTGATTTCACCTCATTCATCTATATTTGAATAAAATGAAAAAGATTAACTCATTAAACACTGACTTATTAAATATGTTGTAGCTACAAGCTGACTGCATCTTCAACTGTTTATAAGAACATCACTAGAATATCCTCACTGTTCTGCAAGTCTAGAATTATTACTGTTGCCTCTGTGTTCATATTTTCAAGTTTTATTTCATTTATTTCTTATCATGCAAACTTATTCAGATTAAACACTAACAGACTGCAGACTTTTGGTTTGATCTGTCCTTAGTAATCAAGCTGAAACAAATCTGTAGTTTCATTGTCCTATTGAGGACATATGTTTTTAAAAACAGGTCAACATATATACCTTCATTTTTAAAAAGGGCTAAATAATTTCCTAAAACAACTGGGCAAACAAACAAGCACATGTGGTTGGGACCATTTTCAGCTACTGATTAATACACATTTGGTACACTAGGGAGCGTTTCCAACAGGTGGATGGCTTCATGGTAATGAAGGAACAAGCCAGTGCATCAGTGTGGCTTACTGATGTCATGTTAGAAGTTGTCGGACAACAATGTGACACACTATATCAGGCTTCGGCTACACAGGGGCAATTGATTGTTAGGTTTAGTCATTCAATGGATTTGTCAACATTACAAAAAAATACAGAATATAACCAGACATATCTGTTATTTTGGTGCATCATCGTGCTAACATATGTCCTAAAATGTGTACCTTTATTTTAGGTAGCAGTTGGCATCTACATGTACAGTTCAAGCAGATTTTTAGATGTTTCTTGTCAAGTGGATTTTTTTTTTTAAAACAAAACCAATACAAATAAATAGAAAAAAGGGCATGAGTCAGATGTTTAGGTGAAGTTTTATGGCCTTTCAGTTGGTTTTTTGTTTGGTCAGGCGAACTAAATGACACAATGGCCAAAACATTTCTGTATGATTACTACAGTACTACTTGAATCAAATGAGTACTGGTCCAACCTCAAATTATCTAAATTTAGCAAGCATCAAATCACTGCTGTGTACAGAGTGTTCAGTATCACCGTTGGGTGCACAAACCTTAGTCATCATTCTTGGTACTGTGCAAATTTCTACAGAGTGAGATAACAGTGACATTACTGATATAAACTTTTCTGGGGAAACCATCAGAAAATTCTCAAGCACCCTTGTATGGTAGATCCCAGAGGCCCATTTTGTGAACTTTTTGGTGCTGAAATGGCACATCCCAGTCAAACACAGCAGAAATGTGATCAGACTTTAAGGAGATAACTCACCAACAGCTGGGTGCAATCAGCACACAGCATTGAGGCGCTCACTGATGATGATGTCAGTGACTTTGGAGAGAGACATCTGTGATTATAAGATTAGAAGTCATTAGCGCTGTAGGTCTGAACAGTGGTTCCCAAACTGGGGCAGTGGGAATTACAGGACTCCTTGAGAGGATTCCATTGGGTCTCCAGCAAAATGAGGATTAGTTTAATTTCACAGTTATTTCACTCTATACATGTTAACACAATGAAGTAGAAGACTCTACTCAGAGGTTTCACTTGCTTTACAATGAAGTTCGCAAATGTTTCATCAAATGGCGGATCAAAGTGAATTTCCATTTCAGTGTGACTCCCCAGGGTGCACTCTGTGCATGCAGACTGAAGTTAAAATAAGAAGAACATTTAAGACATTTGTATAACTACTGTGACACGCTTGTGTGGATGACTGCATAAATGACAAAAAGCTGTAAAAAATATCTTGAAATAGACTAGTACTGCATTTTTTTTTTTTTTTTACCATGAGGGCAGAGTATTTTGTATTTAAAACTGTTTTTTCCTCCACTTTATTTGCTGTTTTGCCCAAATAATAGAATATTTTTAACTGGAAAAGACAAAATATGAAGCAAATATGAGACTTCTGAAACACAGACCAACATAAATAATATGAGGAGCAGAAAGGTACAAGCACAATAAAATGTACCAAACAAAATGAAGTGTATTTGTTTGTGCTCACACTAGGAAGATCAGAACTGTATTTGATGACTGTGCTTTTTTTAGTTTCATCTTTATTTTATCATTCTTCATTTCAGAACTATCATGAATTGCAACCTGAGGGTGATCCAGGCTCGGGCATTCGCTCAGAACTCACGCCTACGCTACATGTGAGTAAATGCTCTATCGCTGACAACCATATTACCGGTGCCTTCAAAAGATTCTGTTACAATCTGTAATGCTCAACAGCTTGTAATATAAATTGTGGTGCTACAGTTACCATTGCAACAGCCGCACATCTTAAAAGAGAGTTCCATTATTTGCCTTAGATAATTGGCATCCTATCTGCCCCAGCTCTTTGTGCTTTGGTAGAGCAACATGCAGAAGATGCAGTTCTATTTATTCTGCACTCACCAAATGGTCAATTTGTCCAGAAGGCTGAGCTTTAGAGAGCTGGGAAAAGAGCAAAGTAGCATAGGCTGATGTGTCACCGTATGACAGCCTGTTATTCCTCACTTTTCCAGGAGTAAACATAGTGAGGAACTCAGTCAGTCTTTTACCTGAACACATTTGCAATTTCCAGTTGTTGCCTGAGAGGCAGCTTGGTCTGTTTGCCTCTACAAATGGCTGCTATTAAACCTGTGCAAATTACACTGCATATGTTATTGTGTGTGGGAGACTGAGAAACAACATGTAGTATTTGTCACCTGAGGACTCCATCTTCTTTGTTAGGGAAACAGTAAAAACCAGTCTGATTATCAAATGGATGTTGTCTTACAAGTTGACTTTTGGGCATCTGAGTATGTGTGCACACACTTTGGTGTGCATGTGTGTAGACTTCTTTTTTATAACCTTTTATTGAAACAAAGTAACACATTAACAAAACAGTACCGAACATAGGAGACAAGACAACAGTTACATGACATTACAAAATATTAAGTGTTTAACAAGGTTGTAGTGTGTGAAGTGTGGGTATTTCCAACTTATGCAATCTATGAAATGCAAGAAAGGGAAAAGGAGGGGAAGTAAAAAAACAAAACAATAATAAATATGATAACAGTACTACTAATAAAACCAGCTTGTTACATTTTAGAGGTTGGTGGGAATGTGTGTGGCCTCAGCCCCAGGTATTTGATTCAAGTTGAAATGTGTTAAAAATGGGTTCTATGTGTCATAAAAAGCTGATAAACTATTCTTGTGAGTGGATGCCATTTTCTCTAATGTGATGTATTCTGTCAGAAGGTTGGTCCAGTGGTTTATGTGTAGTGATTTTTTTGATTTCCAATTTTGAAAGATTGTCTTCTTGGCAATAGCTAGAGAAATGAGGAGTGGGTTTTTATATTTATTTGGTAGGTGGTCGATTTCTATGACATTACCGAGTAAGCAAGATGGTGGAGAGTTTCTCTGTCACTGCTATCCAGAGGGAATGAACTGGTTGGCAGGTCCAAGTAGCATGAAAATAACTCTTGGTGCAACTTAGAATGCATTGTGTGCAGATGTCTGTGTCGGTAAAACCCATTTTGAACATTTTACTTTCTGTAATATGGGTCCTTAAAATGGTCTTGTATTGTATAAGTTGTAAGCTTACATTGCTGGTCATAGAAAAGATGTTATTGCAAATTTCTGTCCAGAAGTCGGAGTTGAGGGGGAGAGTTAAATCATTTTCCCATATGAGTTTTGGTATTGTTGAGTCTATATTTGATACGAGATTATATAGCTTGGATATTATTTTCTTGGAGGATGTAATTTTCATAAATTCTTCAATTAATTTGGAAGGCTGTAGTGGGTTATTGGTTACACGTGTTTAATGATGTATTTTAGTTGATTGTACTGGAGGAACTGTTCTCTCTGAACTCCGTACTTCTGGATCAGTGTATTAAATGATATGAGCTGGTTATTTTCAAATAGGTGATGTAAGTGCGTGATTCCTTTGTGTTGGCCACGTTGGAAAGTAGATGGGGTTGTTATGCAGTTGAAAGTCAGGGCTGTGCCAAATTGGAGTGTATCTACATGGTGCTAATGATGATTTAGCGGTTTTGATTGCTTTCCACCAGGCTGCCAGAGTTGCAGAGATTGTGATATTTTTGCAATAGTTCATTTTCTTAATTGAGGAAAGGTCTTCAACTGAAGTATTTTTGCATTGATTTTGTTCTAGTTCTATCCATGAGGTATAATAACTGTCCTTCTGGATCCATTTAACTAAGTATTGTAGTTGATTTGCTAAGAAATAATGCTCAAAATTTGGTGCTTCTAGGCCACCTTGTGATTTGTTCTTCTGAAGTGTTGACAGAGAAATTTTGGGTTTCTTGTTTTTCCCAGTAAAATTGCGAAGTTAGAGAATCAAGTGATTTGAACCATTTATCTGTGGGTGTTGTGGGGAGCATTGAAAACAGGTAGTTAATTTGTGGTAAAGTTTTCATTTTCAATGTAGCAATTCAACAAATGAGTGAGTCGGAGGTTGGACAAGCATTTGAAATTATCTTCCTTTTTTTTTTTTAGTTGAGGTTAAAAAGTTGTGACAGCCTGGGGGAAATACTGATACCTAAAATACTTAATGTTGCCAGTGTGAAGGGGAAGGGGGCAGTCTTGAGCTGCAGAATCCCAGGCATCTTGAGAGAGTGGCAATATGGTGAATTTATTCCAGTTTATTGTATAGTTGGAAATCCTGGAGAATGTTTCTTGTAGTAAACTGTAGGGGTCCTGTAAATATAATAATATGCACCCATTATTTTCAATGAAAGCCCACACACCAGCGGGGGAACTGACACACGTCATCACGGGTTGACGAGTGTCAACGTTTCAGGATGTGCTATTATCTAGTGATGGGAATTCCGGCTCTTTTCGGAGAGCCAGCTCATCTGGCTCAGGCTCAGCAATAAAAGATGGGATGCCAAATGGCTCTTCATTTAGTACTACTTCTGGCTTTTGTAATTCAGCCAAATTTAATATTTTGACCTAGGACTGATATATGTGTGCACCCATATCACTTAAATTATTTGTTACACTAAACCTTCCAGATTACATATTTTACATCATGTTTGGTATAAAAACCATCATCTAACACTATGTTGGATATACAGTTCTAATATGCCTGTGAAGACTGTTAGTAGACCCTGCTCAATGTCTATGTTATTAAAACGCATCCAAATGCTACTTTGTTTGTATCGGTCACTCATTTTCTGCTGTTCGCACACTCCTGTCATCTGTTCTGTAGGCTGTCAGCCCAGCCCTCCTCCCTTTAACTTGATGATATGATCCTTCTCTGTCATCGCACCTGATTGGTCACAGGCACACACAACACAACCTTCAGTCAGCACATGGAGTGCCTGTAGCTGACCAGTGTGATGAAAAGATCACCTATCATTCTGCGGTGTATTAATAACAACAACAAGAAATTAAATAAAAAATTGTTGTAAACAAACATGGTGGACCCACATAACCACTCTGAAGTGGTTAGAAGGGTACTCAGAGGTAGAAATACCCTTTTTGTGATAACCTGCTAACAACATAAGTGGACAAAAACCCAACTCTAACACTCCTTGGTGGAGGTGGTGGGTGAAGCCTTATAGCCCAGGTTACCTCTTGCAGTAGATCAGCTTGTTCAATAGCTTTGAGGACACTCTTCTTAGATGTGTCCTGGATCTCTCCTCCCATCAGGAATTCATCTAGAATGAAGTAGGCTTTCTCAAAGTTAAAGATGATGTCTAGTTCACAAACCTGCAAAAAAAAAAAAAAAAGTTCTTTCTACAGTAGAATTCTTCACATTTTCTCATGTTACTCTCTAACAGAGATTTATATCTCTGATTTAGACTTACACTGCCAAAGTATTTATCCAGCAACTCTACAAAGCGGTGGATGATTTCCAGTGTGATCAGCTCATTGTCCTGCTCTTCAATTGCACAACAGAAATACAGGCTGGCATACCTGCATAAATATGTACATGGTCACACACAAAAAACAGAAACAACATATCAATATAACAACACCTGACAAGATCAACTTTTTTCTACAGCAAAGCTGAAAAGGCTCAGCAGAGGATGCAATTCCTGCACCAGCTCACAAAGTTCAACCTGCCCCAAGAGCTGCTAAGCCAGTTCTACAGGGGAATCACTGAATCTGTTCTCTGCTCATCCAACACTGTCTGATTTGGTTCAGCAATCAAACAGGACAGGAACAGACTCCAGTGCAGAGTTCAGAATGCAGAAAAACCCATCATGTCCTGGACGTAAACTGTTTGAACTCCTCCCCTCTGAACGGCGCTACAGGTCACTGTACACCAAAACAACCAGAGACAAGGACAGACAGTTTCTTCCCCCGTACTATCAGTCTGATGAACAGTTAATCCATGACTGTGTGACTGGACACAGCAATCACCACAGTGTAATAAATTGTAAATATAACCATAGTATATATCAGTCTGGAAGTTCCTCTGCCATAATGTGTGTGCATATTTATTTATAAATACTCCCTCCCTTTTTCTCACCTTCTTTTCTCTCATTTTGTTATTTTGCAGCCTGAAATGAACACAGTTTTGTTTTATTCAGCTGTATGTAGTCGGTGCAACTTAAAACATCCAAGTGGAAGATATAACACCAACATGTCAGAAAAAAAAATAATCAAAACTAGAATAACTGACTTAGAAAAAGGATCGCACCCTTGTGTCAGTAATTTGTTGAACCACCTTTTGCTTTAATTACAGCCTTTAGTCTGTTGGGATATGTCTCTACTAACTTTGCACATCTAGACTTTGCAATATTTGCCTACTCTTCTTTGCAGAACTGCTCAAGTTCAGTTAAATTTGATGGTGACCATTTGTGGACTGCAGTCTTCAAGTCATTCCACAGATTTTCAATAGGGTCTGAGCTCTGACTAGGCCATGCAAGGACATTCACCTTTTTCTCCTTCAACCACTGTGTGGTCATTTTTGCTTTGGGTCATTATCATGTTGGAAGGTAAACCTTCTTCCCACTGACAACTTTCTGGCAGAGGGCAGCAGATTTTCGATATTTTGCCCCATCCATTTTTCCTTCTATGCTGACAAGTTTTCCAGTCACCAATATTTGATTGTTTGCTTCAGTTGCACTACCAGGGACTAAAGTGCTCCAGAAAAGCTCTCTTCATGCTGAGCTAATCAAAATGACCACAGCTGATCACAGTTGACTTGTATGTTTAAATATAGACTGCTGCCCCCGCGACCCGGTCCCGGATAAGCGGAAGAAAATGGATGGATGGATGGACAGAAGAGTTTGGTAGAAAAGGGAGGTCTGCAATTGAGTTATTTATTTTTTACAGTAATTTTGCTCTAATTCTACCCATGCACTGTTGTAACTATCCTTCTGAATCCATTTAACTAAATACTGTAGCTGATTTGCCAAGTAGTAATATTGGAAATCTGGTGCTCCTAGACCACCTAGTGATTTATTCTTTTGGAGTGTAGATAGAGAAATTTTGGATTTCTTGTTTTTCCAAAAAAATTGTGAAGTTAAAGAATCAAGTGATTTAAACCATTTATTTGTGGGTGTTGTGGGAAGCATTGTAAACAGTTGATTTGTCAGGTCCACTCGGCGCGACCTGCCTCTCTTTTGCCTTTCTCTCCCCTGCTCTCTCAACCTGCGGGATCTGCACCTCAGCTGAGTTGCATTCGGTCATTAGCGACTCATTTGTCGGTGAGCACAGCTGGGGTGCATTCCTATGATTACCTCCCTCCTTATTTATACCTCCAGCAGATGCTCTGTCTTCGCCGAAGCATTAACTTGCACACCCTTAACAACCTCCTTATGTATACATCTGGCAGACGCTCCATCATCGGCAGAACATTACTTAATGTACTCAACTTACCTGACGTACATACCCCATTACAGTATTCGTGGTATGTATTAAATGTCTTTTTATTTTCCACGCTGACAGTTCCTGTGCTGTGGATCTCTTTTTTTTTTTTTTTCATTAGGTTAGCCAGACGTTATTTTTGATATCCACGCTGACAGTTCCTGTGCTGTGGATCTCATTTTGTATGTTGGTTGCATGTTTTGTGTTACACGTCTCTAGGCGCCCATGCTGACAGTTCCTGAGCTGTGGATTTCCTTTTTTTGTTCACCTATCCTCCTGGTTAGCTTGTCTATTCCCCTATTCCCCTGTCCATCCTGATCCTCCTACTGTCCTGGTTCCTGTCATTAGCCTGTTTACTCCCCTGGTCGTCCTGGTCTCCTCAGCCGTCTTTGCCCAGCCCTGGTTGTATGTATTCATTGACTCTGTTCCTTTTTGTGATCCCCATCATTAAACCACATTTTTTACTAGCACCTGGGTCAGCAGTCTTGAGTCGTACCTCAGTCCTCCCTCACCCTCCTGGGGGACTAACCATAACATCATTTTGACAGTAGCTATTTGACCGATGAGTGAGAGAGGAAGACTGGATCAACGTTTAAAATCATCTTCTATCCTTTTTAGCGGGGGGGGTAGTTGAGATTAAAAAGTTCTGACAGCCTGGGAGAGATATTAATACCAAGATATTTAATGTTGCCTGTGCAGAATTGGGGGGAGGAGTCTTGAGCTGCAGAATCCCAGGTATCCTCAGAGAGTGGTAGTATGGTGAATTTATTCCAGTTTATTGTGTAGTTTAAGATCTTAATAATATGTAAAGTTTCCTGTAGAGAATTGTAGGGATCCTGTAAATATAATAATAAATCATCTGCATAGAGACTAATTTTGTGTTCTGAGTAAGTATCTTGTATTCCTTTAATTATATTGTTCTGTCATATAGCTGCTGCGAGAGGTTAGATGAAAATGGCGAATAGAGATGGTGAGAGTGGGCATCCTTGTCTGGTACCCTGCTGTAAAATGAAACTTTGTGACCTGATCCCGTTTGTACTTATTGTCGCCCTAGGTGATGTGTACAGTGTTCTTATCCAATGGATGAACAACTCTCCAAACCCAAATCTGCGTAATGTACAAAAGAGAAATGTCCAGTTAACTTTGTCAAATGCTTTCTCTGCATCTAGTGATAAAATTATGGTTTTGGTTTGTTTTTGTTGTGCAAGATTAATTAAATTAAATAATCTACAGATGTTGTCTGAAGCATTCCTGTTTTTAATGAAACCTGTTTGGTCTGGGTGGATTAGTATTGGAGTGACTGTCTCTATTCTAGTAGCTAGGGCTTTGGTAATGATTTTTAATTCTGAATTAATAAGTGATAAGGGACGGTAACTAGAAGGGTGGATTGGGTCTTTGGTTTTAATAAGAGTGTCATGATGGCTGTGTTCATGTTTGTTGGTATTGTGGAGGTGTCTTTAATTTCTGTGGTGACTCTGAGAAACAGTGGTGATAACATTTGCCAAAAATGTTTATAAAATTCAGCTGGTAGTCCATCAGGTCCGGGTGCTTTGCTATTTGGCAGTAAAATCAGTGCTTTATGGAGTTCGCCAATGGTGAGAGGAGCATCTTATCTGTCAGCTTGTTCTCTGGGTAATGTTGGCAATTCTAAACTATCTAAGAAAGTGTCTATTTATAGTGTAGACTTCTTTTTAAAAAAGTTGGTTTTGCTTGTCTCTTCATCTATTTGGGTGACTGGTACAGCTAATTGAGCTCATCATTTAATGAAAGGTATTTAAACCCTGCCTTCACTTTAATTTTCTCTCCATAAGACAGATTTACTAACACAAGCCAAAAGCAAATAAAAGATAGTCTGACCACTTTTTCCTCCCTCTTACTAAACATAATTGGTGCACAGTGGTGGTGGACGTATACAGATCTAACAGGTGTAAAGAGACATAAGAAAAGATCAGATTAGTGGATGATGAGACTCTTTGCTCCCTTTTATTCTCCTCTGTAGTGTAATGGTAAATTAGAGTGAAGTTTAACCCCTAAGTCAATATTCATTATAGTTCATTACAGCTAAACCCCAAAGTAAAATCTTCTATTAATTTACATTTTTCTTCCTGTAAATATATGGCCAGTGAGAGCTGCACCTAAGACACTCATGACAGGCCTCCTTTGTGATCTTGTTAATGCAGGCCGATGGTTGCTAGGTGACACCAAGGAGATGGTGCCAAAGAAGATTAATTATTATGCCTAAGCCTAGCCCCAGAAAACTGTCCTCATTGATGTCTGTGCCAGACAGATCTGCTCAAAGCCCAGCCCATCAGACACTCCGCTTGTTGCTCCTTTATGAGGACAACTGAATCTATTCTCTTTGTCATATGTTCAGGGCAAAAAAGGCTAAATTACACAAGTGTGCCAAAAACCTGATAACTGTAATTATCAACAGGCCCAGTTTTACTTTCTCTTCAATCAAAATGCTTTTACTCTGTTAAATACATGTATTACATATGGTTTTGTATTACAACACTGTGCTAGATTCCTTAACTTGACAACTCACCATTCCTTGAAACCCCTCCTCTAAGTTTCTTTTTCCGCCCTCTTCAAAACCAAATGTGCAAGTGCAAAAATGTGAGGAGCCGTGTTTATCTGCTCTACTGAAAGTTGCAACCATTAGCATTTTGCCTAAGTAAGTAAGTTAGATCACAAGATTAATAATACTACACTAGTTTATTGTAGATAGGCTTTCCTTAATAGGCTATTTTAAAGTTATTTCTAGAGTTTTAGTATCCTTATTCTATTCTAGCTATGTGACCATAGCCAGTGTTCACAGTTCACCCACCTTAATATCACTTTTTACTCTAGCTATAAATGAGTTTCCCTGTATGTATTGCTGTTCTTTCTCCTATTATATTCAGAGATTCATTCATGGTTCTGGCACTGTTGCTTCTAATTAACAACTCTGTCTCTTTCACATGAATGCGTTATAGGACAACCCAGAGTTAACAGAGCCAGTTGATAACTGGCTTTGTAGTGCCAGTTATCTGGGTTCACCAATGTTAGGCTCAGTGAATCCAGATAACCCCAAGAAAGCCAGACTAAACTGGACTGGATT